TTATAAGTGTAAAGCTCTCTTGTCACGTCCCATCATAGTTGTGCGTATATTTAATTTCGCAGTTGCTGATGTTGCTCAACATGCTGACAGTACAGGGCAAGCCAGAAAGAGGCGTAAGTCAAACGAGGAGCGGGAAAGTAGTACTACAGGTACAAACTGTAGCACTGATGGAATAATCTGCCATATTAGAGTTTTTGTGGAATGATTGTCTTTTGAAAAACGCTGTTCGCCAGCCAACAGGTCCTTTGATTGGTGCGGCATGAGACCTATGATTGACATATTTTATCGCACATTTCTTGTCATTGTTATCGTAGTGCCGTTCAAGGCAAATACAGCCTCTCTAACCTGTAAAACATTCTTTACAAATGCCAAATGCTATTATATTCACTCCACGAGCTAACAAATTCACAAGTTCGCGCTCATTAGACAATAGCCACGCACATGCACAACACAACTCCATATTGCCATATTGCTGAACGGCGTCTGAATCAAAAAACGAATTCCCAACGGCGCATGATAAGTTCGGCGTCTGAATCAAAAACGAATTCCCAACGAATCAAAAACGAATTCCCAACGGCGCATGATAAGATCGCCGTCTGAATCAAATACGAATTCCCAACGGTGCATGATAAGATCGGCGTCAGTTCCCGTATACGATACGGATGAGTGCACAAAAGTCGTGCTATACTGCTATGGTATAGTAGTGACCGCACGCTACACTAAAGTATAAAAGGCTTATTCTTTTCGCAGAAAGATAAAATATTGTATTATTCTAATTTGTTTGCAGGTGGCTCCCCAAACAAAACTGTTATTGAAGGGAAAAAAGCGGTTTCGGTAAAGACAACGATAGCTACAATGTCCCAATGCGTGGCAATGGCGCTAACATTTGCAAAAATTCAACAGAAGCGCCACCATGGACTCCACACGTTTCCAACACTACGGGTGCATCCCATTGGCATTGACATCATACTTTACAATGCTGTGTCAGATCATTTGATGTTAACTTGTTTGACATGGACGAATCAAGCGCTTTTTATGTTGTGGTTGGTGCTACACCATGACGTATTTAGTTTTCTGGAATTGCCAAAAGAGTACAAAAGGTATACATCCGGCTTTCTCGATTATATTGCAAACAGTGGTGCCATGAAAACAGAACCTAAGTACCTTGTTTTGAAGAAAAGTTTTGAACTTGACGAAGAGGAGATTGATCGGGAACGTAGGATAGGAGGCCTCAAATGATGTTTACTTGTACAAGGGTTGCCACAGGTCAGGAAATTGGTCCTGGAAAAAATTCTTCAAGGTCATGGAAAGGTCACAGAGTTTTATTTAGAGTCAGGAAAAATTGACCTTTCTGAAGAAAAGTCAGGGAAAATTGAAATAATTTAACGGTAATACAGCTGATTTAAGTAATGTTTAAAAAACGAGCAGGAGTGTTTTATCGGGTTTAAAACCACGAGGCGTAGCCGAGTGGTTTTTGACCCGATAAAAAACGTGCTGCGAGTTTTTTGAACGGCTTCAAAAACATTCTTGGAGAAGCGTGTGTCAAGAGAGTTCATAACAATTATGCTTTTGTGAACGTGAGAAATTAGCATACGAGAAAAACATTCATAAGTCACGTGCAGTGTCTTTATATCTGATAAAACACCGCATACTAATAAGGATGAGGTTTATCGATATAAAGTCACTGCACGTGATGTATTATCTACCATTTGATAGGTTAATGGGCTTATGAATTATTAATGAGTTTTTGAAATTATGTATAATCTTACAAACAAGATTAAGTCTTAGGAATCTACGTCTACTCCCCAATGATAATAAGGAAAGCTTACTATGCATTTCTTCTCGCATTTCGCATTTTGTGTGCATTATTTTTGCAATTTAGGTGTATTGCTTAGGGTTTATATAACAAAACAGGCCCGTAAAAAACTTAACAGTGATATTTAGTAAACAAATTCAAAGAATAGAATTTGAATCAAAGTGCTCTGTGAGCAAACTCGTGAATTGACACATGATTTTTTAGATTATGTTTAATGTTATCTGGTTTAGGGAATTTTGTGGTTGATTGTCATATCTAGAGTACGAGCAGTAGTTCAGTGTTCGCTAATGTAGCAAAGAAACAAAGTAACGTTGGGATAAGAAGGCATTACAATTGAAATGATCATGCTATTACATTTGACAAGGTGGATGATGTCATGTGTTTTAAACGTCTATCATTTTTGTTTCTGGTTCAAAAGAAAAGGTTGGAAGTAAATGTGGGTGAAAAGTGAAATTTACTGTCTTTCGTTGTAAATATTAGAAAATCAAGGCAATACTGTCTTAATGAAAACATTAACGATTCCCTCTTTATCAAATGAGACAAACGGGAACGAGTTTTGAGTGATATAACTAAGCCAAGCCTGCCACCGTCATTTTGGATCTCCGCCTGGGTAGATTTAAGGCGGGGGTAAACCTGAAAAAATGCCCATTTTTCACTCACGTGCTAGGCAACGTATAATCAATAACAAGATAGAATTTCATTTCAGGCCT